TGATCCAAAGCAGATCCCCTCTTTGTTTGGCCGGATACAGTTTTCGGAGAGTCAGTTGATGGGCCGACAGGGACGCTTGGCTTTGGCTCAGATTCGCTGGCTTTCGAGTGCTCGTCACCGTCACGTTCTATCTTCTTTGGACGCTACTGTCTTCAGAAGCTTGAGGGAGAGGATGCTTGAGGGCCGGCCACGCGAGATCCAGGTTCTTCCCGTTGGCGGCCAGACTCTCGTTTTCACTGATGGTGCATGCGACAAGCTGGGCGACAAGTTTAGCTGCTCAATCGGAGGTGTCATGTATCGGGTGCTTCCAACTGGTCCCTATGAGACGAGGGCGTTCGGGTGCTACCTGGACGAATCGGTCGTCGAGCAATGGGCGGGACTGGGGAAGAGACACTTGATAGGTCCTACCGAGCTTTTCGCGGTGGTGGCGGCCCGACATGTCTGGAAAGATTTTCTGAATGATCAGAGGGTCGTCTTTTACGTGGACCACAGTGGAGTTTTGTCTGCGATGATCAAAGGGTCTTCACGCGATGATCTATGGAGGAGCATTTTGCTTCACTACGAGTGTGCCGACTCGCTGGGACCGGCGATCTCGTGGTTCGCTCGAGTCCCGAGCAAGTCGAATCCAGGCGATGGACCTTCAAGGTCCGACTGGAGGTTCCCTGTGTTCGGCGAGTACTTTGAAGATCGGATTGTGTGCTTCATCAGCGGCAGAGTTCTCAAAGTCACGGGGCAAAGAGTGCAGGGGTGAAAGATGCCCCATAACTTTTCTACGAGCCCGGAGGGGCTGTTGGCGAAGTGCCAACATTGTTGGATCCCGAGGGGGATCATGAGCATGCACTTCTTTCCCCGAGAGGCTTTGCCATACCGAAAGAAAAGATTCTGTCTTGCGTACTTTGTCCGAGTGCTGCTATTTCTTGAGGCTCGTAAGCTCTCTAACAGGTCTCATTTCCACTTTTATATATATGCGATCGAAAGACATATTTGAGTGGACTTAAAGAAAGGCCCGCATGACACATGAAGCCACATTGGTTATAAGCCGTTTTTGGGACGCTAAAAATCACAAACTAGTCCCATAAGGCTTTATAACCTTTTTGGTAGGTTTCGAAAGTTTTGAAGAAGTTTTTCGAAACCGCTTCATGTGTCATGAGATTCCATTTGAACTTTTATGAATCTTTGTTGTTCCGCGCATGCTCAAACATAGGGTGGGTGGGCGGGAACCTTCCGTGCAGCAAAGTTTGTACCCACCACTCCCACCCAAACTTTGCGGGGTGAAAGATGCCCCATAACTTTTCTACGAGCCCGGAGGGGCTGTTGGCGAAGTGCCAACATGTGATGGGATCCCGAGGGGGATCATGAGCATGCACTTCTTTCCCCGAGAGGCTTTGCCATACCGAAAGAAAAGATTCTGTCGAGCGTAGTTTGTCCGAGTGCTGCTGTTTCTGAGGCTCGTGAGCTCTCTAACAGGTCTCATTTCCACTTTTAATACATATGTGATTGAAGGACATATTTGAGTGGACTTAAAGAAAGGCCCGCATGACACATGAAGTCACATTGGTTATAAAGATCGAGTTTTGCACGGGGAAGCAAGGATGATCAGGGCCTGTGATCGTCCCACCTACCACTTGTTCACGGACGCTTCCTATGAGGCGGATGTGCCAGCAGGTCTAGGGGGCATCCTTTATAGTGATGGGGGTTTGCTTCTTAGGTGGTACTCTGAGTCTGTCGACACGGACGTTTTAGAGGCCATTAACAAGGAAGGCAAGAAAGGTCTGATCTACGAGTTGGAGGCTTGTGCTGCAGTGCAGGGTGTGGTGCAACTTTGCAATTCCTTGAGTGACTGCAACCTCATTTGCTATTGCGACAATGAAGCCGCCCTCGCGGCTCTCATCAAGTGTGCTTCCGAATCCCCGGTGGTGGCATCGCAGCTCAACAAGCTCAGCATGCTTGAGGATGAGAAAGGAATTAGTGTATGGTTCGAGAGAGTGGAGTCGTCTGCGAACCCCGCCGACGATCCTTCACGCTTTGTGCTTGACAAGCCCCCCACTAGTTTCAGAGTCCGTTGGATGCCAGGCGAAGAGCTGTTGTTCTAGCGGCATCTGATCTTGAATGGGGAGTGGCATCATCTGCCTTTCACTTGCAGGATGTTTTCACTTGCGGGAACGTGCCGGAAATCCCGATGCAGGATACTCTCAGCTTTGCCATTTTCTGAACATCGGCCACGAATGTGGAGCCGGAATCGTTACCAGTCTGCACCCCTGGCTCTAAAAAGAAACAGTGCAGTGCGAGTGTTTCTGTCCGTGAGTGCAGTTGTGATGCAGTCATGTCCATGTGCTTCATGCTTTGTTTGTGCGCTTGGACTGAAAACATAACCAAATAAGAACAAACTCTCCCGAAGGGGGATGTTTTCTTATTTGATTGTTTTCATGTTTGGAAAAATTGTTTACAATTTTTCATGCGCACTTTTTCTTTCATGCCTTGCTGGAGTATGTCGCATGACTTTTGATTTTCTCACGAGTGCCTTACCATGCTTGTCTTGGTACTCGCAGTTGTGCTTGCAGGCGTGAGAAAATTTTTTGTCCCGCCCACCCGCCCTTCTGGTGTGGGGAGTGGCATCATCTGCCTTTCACTTGCAGGATGTTTTCACTTGCGGGAACGTGCCGGAAATCTCGATGCAGGATACTCTCAGCTTTGCCATTTTCTGAACATCGGCCACGAATGTGGAGCCGGAATCGTTACCAGTCTGCACCCCTGGCTCTAAAAAGAAACAGTGCAGTGCGAGTGTTTCTGTCCGTGAGTGCAGTTGTGATGCAGTCATGTCCATGTGCTTCATGCTTTGTTTGTGCGCTTGGATTGAAAACATAACCAAATAAAATTGTCTTCCCGAAAAGGATCTTGTTGTGGCGTGAGATTCTAGAGGATCTTAAATATCCGGATGTAGGAGTGCTTGATGAGATGCTTGAAGGAGTGCACCTGACAGGTCAGACCCCCTGCACTGGAGTCTTTCCTGGAGCCTTCAAGCCAGCAAAACGGACATCCGAACAGCTGCGCTCTGGGGCTAGTGAGGCCCGGCAAAAGGTCTTGGAAGCGATCAAATCTCAAGGGCACCTAGATGAGCCGCTGGAGCAAAAGGTCGATGAAGAAGTTGAGCTTGGCTGGCTATCCGAACCAATAGACCCAGCCGACTTGCCTGCGGACGGCAACAATCAGCAGGAGGTTTGCGATCGAACAATCGGGGAAGATCCGCTTAATAGATGACCTCAGTGATAGCGGTGTTAATGGGTCTGTTCAAACCACCGAGAGCCCCAAACCTCAATCCCTTGACGTGGTGGCCGCCATGGCCTTGGCGTGCCTCAGACAGCTACCTGGGATCCCCATGCTGGGGAAAACGTACGACCTGCAGAGCGCCTACAGGCAAATGTTCATCTCTCCAGATGACCTCAAGGAAGCGTACATTGCCTACTTCAGCCACCGCGAGCGCAGAGTGATCATACGGCAGATGCTAGCGCTCCCGTTTGGGGCGACCAGGGCAGTATTTTCCTACTTGCGAGTGGCACACTCAATGTGGTACATCGGGTGTTGGGCATTGAAGGTGATATGGTCACACTTCTTCGACGACTACATAAGCTTAACAACTCAGGTTGAAGCCAAAGCCGTCGACTTGGCAATATCTTCATTGTTCAGGTTGTTAGGGTGGAAGGTTTCGGAGAACAAGAGGACAAACCCTTTGCTGAGAGCTTTGCTGCGCTTGGGGTACGGGTCAGCTTCGAACGTTTCTTGCAAGGAGAAGTTCTTTTCCATAACACGGAAAAGCGCATCTTGGAAGTTGCTTCTACGCTGCGCCGTGCAGTTGATGACCCGACCCTCACCCAGAAGGATCTATCACGCATTCGGGGCCGCATGGTCTTTGCAGGGGGCCAGCTTTTCGGAAGGGCCGGCCGGTTATGCGTATCCGCCCTCGCGGGTGAAAGCTGCTCGACAAAAGCAAACCTCAGCGATGATGCAAAGCAAGCTATGCTTCAGTTTGCCGACCTGCTTGAAGCCAACTGGCCGCACGTGCTGAGAGATGTGTCGGCGGAGCCTATGTACATCTTCACTGATGCTTCGTATTCCGAAAAGGATGGAGGTACCTTTTGCGGCATAGGCGGAGTCTGCTTCGACCACAAAGGCCACCCCCTGGGATTGTTCTCCCAGGAGTTGTCTGTCTTTCAGAAGTGCCTTCTAGGAGAGGGCAAGTCCAGGACCATCATTTTCGAGGCAGAACTTGCCACAATAGTGATCGCATATGTCCTGTGGAAAGATTGGCTGAGAGGAAAGCTTCCATCATGCGTGCGTGAATGGGTTTTATTTCCCGCCGAAAGTGTAGACAAAGTTTTGTCGTAAAAGGAAAACAGTGTTTTCACTTGTGTGTTGTGAACACTAGACAAACTTTGCCGTGCAGCTTTCGGCTTGAAGTGGATCTGTGATCCAAAAGTTTTTATCTCTTGTGCTGGTGGGCTAGTAGTCCCTTTAATCTAAAGTGATCTTCTAGTAGAGTAGCGGCGGGCTAGTAGCCCCTTTGATCCAAAGTGATTTTCTGGTAGAGTAGCGGTGGGCTAATAGCCCCTTTGATCCAAAGTGATTTTCTGGTAGATTAGTGCTGGGCTAGTAGCCCCTCTGTCGGGCTGGTAGTTTCTGTAGTGCCATGGACGGTGCCGTAGCAGCGCTACTGGCAGGCAGGCAGCAGTGCTGCCCATGCCTTTCATCCGAAACTTCAGGGCAGTGCCCCGAAGCTTGGGACCCTCATGCGGTTTGCTCACTGTTTAGTAAGCGGTGTTGTGCTGCTCGGTGTCGCTCTGCAGCGGCACTGTTGGTGGTTCTGCAGGCTTCTGCAAGCAGCAGTGCTGCACGAAACCAGGCAGCAGTGCTGCCGATGCCTAGTATCATACGCCTTAGGTCAGTGCCCTGAGGCTTCAGGTTCATGTTTTTCGTTCTGCAGGCAGGCTGGCAGGCAGCAGCACTGCCTAAGCCTCGCATCCTCAACCTCGAGGCAGTGCCCCGGGGTTCGTGGCCTCCTTGCAGGCATCGGCTGTTCAGTTAACAGGGTGGTTCTGCAGTGCAGCTTCTGCGTGCGGCCGTGCTGCGAGTAACCCGGCTGCCGAGGCCTAGTGTCAAAACTTCCAGTCAGTGCCCCGAGGCTACAGGTTTTGGTTTTCATGCTGCAGGCGGGAAGGCAGCAGCGCCGCCTACGCCTCGCATCCTAAACCCCAGGGCAGTGCCCCGCTGTAAACAGCGTCCTTGCAGCAGTGCTATTGGTGGTTCTGCAGTTCAGCTTCTGCATGCAGCAGTGCTGCAAGTAACCAGGCAGCAGTGCTGCCGATGCATAGCATTATAAACCTCGGGTCAGTGTCCCGAGGCTCCAGGTTCATGTTTTTGGTGCTGCAGGCCGGCAGGCAGCGGCACTGCCTACGCCTCGCATCCCAACGCCCAGGGCAGTGCCCCGAGGTCTGAAGCCCCCTTCCCGGCATCTGCTGCTTTGTGACAGTGTCCCTGCAGCCGCGCTGTTGGTGGTTCTGCAGTGCAGCTTATGCATGCAGCAGTGCTGCGAGGAGGCAGGCAGCAGTGATGCCGCTACCTTGCGTCCTTAGCCTCAGGTCAGTGCCCCGAGGCTTCAGGTTCATCCGTTTAGTACTGCAGGCACGCAGGCAGCAGCACTGCATACGCCTCGCGTCCTAAACCCCAGGGCAGTGCCCCGAGGTTTCCGCCTTGCAGGCATCTGCTGGTTAGACAATTGTGTCAACAGTATTGTGGCTGCCCATTGCCACTTCTGCGGCAGCGCCGTTGGAGGTTTTGCGTGCAGGTTCTGCACGAGAAAGTGCTGCGAGCAGGCAGGCAGCAGTGCGGCCGATGCCTGGCATCCTAGGCCTCACGTCTGCACCCCAAGGCTCCAGGTGGTCATGCATTCTTCTCTTGTTGGGTGCACCTGCTGGCTTGTGCCTGTGGCAGTGCTGCAAGCACGCACAAGCAGCGCCGCGTGTGCTTGGCCCCCCCAGTGGGGAGGAAGATGACACGCTAAGTTACAGTCGAGGCTTAAGCACGTCCTTGCCTGAGAAGGGCGCGTCAGAAAGAAAATGGAGGCCAGTGGCTACGCCTACCACAAGGATGGTAAAGACAATGGCACGGGTAGCTTTGTTCGCACCCTCAGCGAAGGGAGTAAACACAGGAAAACGCAGCCTCGGCCTGCCAGTGGGAAAGCGCAGGGCCAGCGGCTGCTGCAGCCTCCACGTACGTCGTCGGTCCCGGTGCAATGCCACCTCCTAGCATCACTGTCCGGCAGAGCCATGGACAACGCAGGGCGCACGTGCAACCGGAGTCCATACTGGCACTGTAGCCTTGCAGTACTGGGGTTAGTAACCCTTTGGCCAGCGGCATGCACCGAGGCGTCTTCGGCAGTGCCGTGTCGCTTTGCTTTTTGTCCGCAGCGCAGTCTGCCAGATATCCTCGAGCAGGCCTTGCGAGAGGTATGCAATGAAGAGGTAAGTTATCTCTTGTGGGTTGTGAGCAGTGCCACCCGCGTCGTTGCGGAGGACGTCAGTGACGATCACTCCGATTTCGCCGTTGAATGAGCTCTGGGAGGCCTCGGTGTCTGACTCACAGTGCAGTTTTGTAGTTCCAAGCCTAAAGTGCTCGTAAATGGTGTGCTTTTTGGTGTGAGGACCCGCTGCGAGTCCCTAAGGGCCCCTGCGTGTCCCTAAGGGCCCCTGCCAGTTGCTAAGGGCCCCCTGCCCGCCTTTTCCTGTGGGCTCGCATTAGTAATGACGAGCTTCTGTGTTGCCTTAAGGTTGTGCCGTGCAGTGCGCGCACAAGGCCCCAGAGCCCGAGCCCTTAATGCAAAGTTTGCATTGGCACCTTGGCCAAAGCTTGGCGTCGCTGGTATCCATTCGCTTCGTGAGTGACGCCAGCACGGACTCGGCAGTGCCGCTTGTCCCTCGATTCCTCCAGTGTGCTCAAGTGGATGTTCGTGAGGATGTCAACATTAGGAGATAAGTTATCTCCTTTTCGCAGTCATAAATATGCTGGATGTCAGCTGGGGGGCAGTGTCCCGAGGCCTGAGGCCGCCCTACAGGCTTCTTAGTTTTCAGTAAACTGTGTTGTGAATGCTCCATGCTGTCAAGTTTTGGCGCGGACTGCTCCCGCAGGTCCTTCAGTGCAGCTTCGGCAGGCAGCAGTGCTGCCGATGCCTCACTTCCTAAACCCCGGGGCAGTGCCTCGAGGAGTAGGGCCCTCCGCTTGATTCTTGGTGGTTAGTGCACTGTCTGCCAATGCTTGGTGTGGGTCCAGGCTTTCGTGCGGAGTCCGCAATAAGCTCTGAACCTCTGCTCTTGTTTTCCCCCAAGGCAGCCGTGCGTGTAGCAGTGCTACAGGCATGCAGGCGGCAGTTTTGCCTGCGCATCCTACACCTCAGGGCAGTGCATCGAGGCTTGCACTCCTTCGCCTGCTTCTTGCTGTTTAGTAAACAGTTTGTCAATGCTTGGTGTCCGTCAGGGTCTTGTTGTTAACTCCGCGCTAGGCCCTGCGACCGTTGCTGTTGCAGGGTCGGCCCCCAAAGCATGTTGTTCGCAGCGCAGTGCTGCAGGCACGCATGCAGCGGTGCTGCTAATGCCTCGCCTCATACGCCTGAACAAAAGTGCCCTGAGGTTTGAGGCCTTCAGACTTTCGAGTGTAGCGTGGTTTGTAGCCGTGTTACGTGTCAGCATGCAGCAGCGCTGCTAATGTCTGGCATACTTATCCTCAGGGCAGTGCCTTGCCCAAGCAGGAAGTGTTTTTGCTGCTTCCTACTGTTTGGTCCACAATGCTGCGACGCTTCGTCCCGGTTGGGATTTTGGTGCGAAGTTCGCGCAAAGCCCTGTGGATGTAGCAGTGCTACAGGCAAACAGGTCGCAGTGCTGCCGTTGCCTCTATCCTAAACCTCAGGGCAGTGCCTCGAGGCTTGGAATGTTCACGCGGCTCCCTGCTGTTTCGTGAGCAGTGTGACAACGATGTTGCCGGCCGTGGTTTTGGCGCGGCGTTCGGTTTGGTAAACAGTTATGGCAATGCTTCGTCCCGGTCGGGTTTTTGGTGCGAAGTTCGCGCCAACCCTGCGTATGCAGCCGTGCTGCAGGCCAGCAGCAAACAGGCATGTGATGTGGTTTCTTTTCGTTTCGCAAATAGTGTGGCATCGTTTGTTTTGGTGCGGCGTTCGCGTCGAGCACCGCGGTCACTGCTGTCCTACAACGCAGCGTAAACGTACGGCCGCGCTAATGCCAAGCATGCAGCAGTGCCGCTGCTGCCTCGCATGTCAAACCTCAGGGCAGCGCCCCGAGGAGTGCAGGCGGAGCGTGCGGTCCTCATGCACGTTCCTTCCCGTTTAGTAAACAAACGGCCAGGTTTAGTGCAGGTCGCGTGCCTCATGGCTTGAGATCTTCATGCATGCTGCTCACTGTTGAGTAAGCAGTGATGGCGGTGCCTGTTGCCCGTCAAGATCTTGGTGCGGAGTCCGGCTGTTGCTGTTGCGGGGCTTCCAGTTTTGTGCAGCAGGGCTGTCGACAAGCAGGCAGCAGTGCTGTCGTTTCTTCGCGTCCTAAACCTCAGGGCAGCGCCCTGAGGCCTCCGACCTTCATGCGGGCTCCGTACTGTTTAGCAAACAGTTAGGCCACGCTTGACGTCGGTCATGGGTCTTTGTGTGGAGTACGCGCCAGGCCCTGCTGCCGCTGCGGCACAGGTCATGCAGCCATTTTTAAGGGCAGTGCCCACAAAGCACTCTCGGGTCGATGGGCAGACAGCGTGCGTTCCTGTGGCAGCGCCACTGCTGCACGAGTGGGCCTATTGGTCATCCCAGGGCAGTGCCCGGGACCGCAGGCATCTCAAGCAGGCTTGGCAGTTGCAGTGCCTCATGCCCTGCCTTGACGAGGCGCGTCGCCCCAAGCAAATGCTTGCTCGTAAGCAAACTCGCCTCTGTGTGCTTCCTGGGCTACCGCCGGTCCAGCCCAGCGCTCGGACAGTGTCTGCGGCCTCTCTACGCCCGGTTTTCTAACTGGACAGTGTCTATAATGACAGTTGCAGACTCGGAGGGCTCCAGCAAGCAAGTCCTCGCGCGTCCGTGATGCGCAACCCATACTATGGGCCACTCTCTTGCTACGCGCCCTCTGAGTCCGTGACGTGTGCCTGTGCGTGCTTCCAAGACGCAGGTGGCACCTTTGGCTGCAGCGCAGGAGCCGTTGCTTCTCAGCTCTGAGCAGCACCAGCAGAGATTCGATTTCACCGCGTGACTCACAGTGTGAGCAGGCAGTTTTAGGCTTCAAATTGTGTGCGAATGGCCGACTTTTTGGTGTAAGGGCCCGCTGCGAATCCCTAAGGGCCCTCAGATGCACACAGACAGCCTCGCAGACAGTGTCTGCTGCGAGCGGCCTCTGTCCGCGTGCCGCGCTTTCGTGAATCTCAGTTTTTGCTTCAAGAGACGAGAGCCAGTGGCTTTTACATAGCTCCCTCATCCCGCCAGTTCCTTTCAACGTGGGAGCGCACTCACAGCGCGGACTCACACAGACAGCTCTGCGAGCTGTGTGTGTTGCACACGGCCCTGAGATGCTCTATAAGATGCCTGGTTTCGTTTCAAGTAAACCAGCCAATGGCCCTCGCATAGCCCCGTGGTCCCGCACAGTGCCTTGGAAACAGGAAGACGCACACGCAGTGCGGACGCCGCAGACACCTCCGCAGAGAGCGTCTGCCGCGGGCGGCCTCTCCACAGGACGACCACGTTCACGCAGGCACTGCAAGAGCGCACACACAGT